GGCCTCGGGACGCTCGGAGATTCTGTGGGATTCTCCAGGATTCTCCGGGCTTCCCCCACGGTGCCCCCCAACCCACCATCCCGGCGGAGGATCCCCCGGGGTTGTTGCCAGAGGAGGAAAACCGCAGTGGGATGCCGGGGCTGGCCGGGCTCCACCGGAGCGGGGCCGGCAGCCAAAGGAGCTCTTGGCCGGCCCGTGCCGGCACTGGCAGTGGCTCCCGCTGACCTCTGGAGCTCCCGACCGTGCCCTCGCCGCAGCCCCGGCACACGGTGCCCTGTGACCCCCCCCAGTGCCACTGGGAACACCTTGGCATCCCCACCAGCCTTCCCCCGGCTCCCAAATTGCGCGCTTTAAATCAAAGCAAGCGTTTTTTCCAGCGGCGTTTTCCGAGCCGCTTCGTGTGCGCCGAGTTCATCCGTTCTCTGCAGCTCTGGACAAGGGCTTTAATAAATGTCCAGCGTATTAATTTTGGGAATTTTCAGGATCCTGGTGGAGGGAATATGTATTTTGGGAGAGTGAAGGATTTAAGCCCGTTTCCCTGTGGGTTTTGGATGGGTTTGATTTGGGTTTCGTACAGCCCAGAAAGGAGGTGGAAAGGAATAATTTGAAAAAGAGGGAGGAAAAGGAAAAATAAGGAGGGGAAAGAGGGTTTGGAACAGCTTGGGCTGTTGGAAGGATGGATGGATGGATGGATGGATGGATGGATGGATGGATGGATGGATGTCCTTGTGGGATTCAGCTCATCCCCTGGTTTTTGGGGCAGTTTGGGGCTGCTTTGAGATTTGGATGTGCAGAACTGGGAGATATTCAGGTTCCTGGCCATATAGGGCTGTTGCACGGATAGGTTGCTGGATATATAGGACTTGGGAATTCAGGGTTACTGAGTGTTTAGGGGTGCTGCATATATGGGATTGTGGGATGTATGTGTTGCTGGATGAAATGAGTTGCTGGATATGTCGGGTCACTGGATGTGCGGGTTGCTGGATGTATAAGATTGGTGGTTATACAGGAATCCTGGATATATAGGGCTGCTGGATAGATGGGGTTGCTGTGTGTGTAGAGTTGCTGGATATATGAACTGCTGGCCATATAGGGTTGTTGGGTGTATAGGTCCCATGATTTGGTATATAGAACTTGGATATTTAGGGCTGTTGAGTGTTTAGGGTTGCTGGATTATAGGTCTGCTGGAGATATGGGATTGTGGAGTATATAAGGTGCTGAATATATAAACTGCTGAATATTGTTTGTTGCTGGATGTATAGGATTACTGGATATGCAGGTTGCTGGATGTATAAGATTACTGATTATAGAGGGCTGCTGGACATATAGGGCTGCTGGATGTATGAGGTTGTTGGATATACAGGTTTTTGGTTGTATAGGGTTGCTGGATATATATGGTTGCTGGATATATAAGATTGCTGAATACATGGATTGCTGGATATCTGGGTCAGTGGATCTATAGGCAGTGGGATCTATATGACAGATGTATAGAGGAGTAGGATCTACGGGGTTGCAGGATCTATAAGGGAGCAGGATCTATAGGGCAGTGGGATCTATAGGACAGCAGGATCTATAGGGCACAGAACAGTGGGATCTATAGAGCAGCAGGATCTGTAGGGCAGCGGAGCAGTGGGTTCTGTAGGGCAGTGGAATCTATAGGGGAGCAGGATCTGTAGGGCAGTGGAATCTATAGGACAGCAGGATCTATAGGGCACAGAACAGTGGGATCTATAGGGCAGCAGGATCTGTAGGGCAGCGGAGCAGTGGGTTCTGTAGGGCAGTGGAATCTATAGGGGAGCAGGATCTGTAGGGCAGTGGAATCTATAGGACAGCAGGATCTATAGGGCACAGAACAGTGGGATCTATAGGGGAGCAGGATCTGTAGGGCAGTGGGATCTATAGAGCAGCAGGATCTGTAGGGCAGCGGAGCAGTGGGTTCTGTAGGGCAGTGGAATCTGTAGGGCAGCAGGATCTATAGGGCAGCAGGATCTATAGGGCAGCAGGATCTATAGGGCCTCCATTCCCGGCTGCAGCAGCTGGAGCCGTATTGGTCCCTCCTCGCCGACTCCGGGCTCGGGGTCCCCCCGCACCCCGCGGGGCCGTTCCGGGGGCCCAGCGCAGGCGGGGGCGGCGGGGCTGTGGCGGGCCCTGCACTGTGGGTCCGTCTGTCCGTCCCTCGCTCCCTCCATCCCCGCATCCCTCCATCCATCCCTACGTGCGCGCCGCGCCGGCACTAATGGCTCCTCCAGCTGCCTTGGCAGGGGGCGGGGAGGGCCGGGGCGGCTGCGGCTCCAACAACCCGCTGCGGGCCCTCTTTGCTGCCCGCCCGGGCCCGCGTCGCCTTCGCCTTCGCCTCCCGCCCCGCACACGTAAGTGCCGCCCGGGCAGCGCCGGCCCCGCTCCGGCCCCGCGCCCCCGCCGCGCTCCCCGGCGCTCGCTGCCTTCCCTGCAGACGGCTCCCGACTATTCCCAGGGAGCGCAGCCCAGGCTGGAAACCCTCCAAGCCAGGCTCTGCCTGTGTGGTTATTTTCTTTTTTTTTTTTTTTCTTCCCTTCCTTCCCTCTGTTTAAGGCATTTAAACGGGGGAAAAATAAAAAAAAAAAAGAGGAAAAATAGATTAAAATAAAAATAAGTGGTTTTGTCCTCGGGGGAATTTTCCCCCCTTTTATAGAAGGGGCCGTGCAGGACCAGCTGAATTAATCCAAACCAAAGCGCTTAGTTTTATCTTTATTTTAATTTATTCCCCCCCCTCCTTCAGCCCCAGCCCCCTCCCCAGCTTTTATCCTTTCCCGGGCTGAATGGGAGGAGGTTTGGGCAGGCAGCACTTTTTCCAGGGAAAAGGGGCTAAATAGGTGCCCACGGCAGTGATGGAGGGGACTTCTGTGGAGCGCGTTGGGATGGAGAGGGGGATCGATTTTCGGGGGGAAGCCGTGAGGTCTTTCCATCTCCCAGCCCACGGGGCTGGGAACAAAAGGAGTTGGATGAGAGAACCAGGAAAAAATAATTATGTTTCATATATATATATATGGCGTTTTTTCCTCCGCTGATTTGGGGAAGGTTGTGGCTTTTGTATTAGCCCTTTAGGAGCATCGGGGAATGCTCAGTCCTGCACTGGATTCACACGGTGAACTATTTTCATGCGTCCCCAGCCCGGATCCATAACCTGGTTTATGGGATGGAGCAGCCCAGGGTGCCTCCCTGACCCCGCGGCTGTTTTTTGGGGCTTCCCCCGCCCTTCCCCAGCAGGTTCTTCCCCCTGGGAAGACCCTCGGGGGCGGCAGCCGCTCCCACCCGGAGCCAAACAGGTTTGTCATCATTTCCCCGGGGTGGCATCACCGCTGTGACACTTGGGGGCCCCGGCACGTCCCCCCCGCGCTCTCGGAGGGGGCTCGTGGTGTTTATCTCCAACGCTTGGGAAAATCCCCTTTGGCTGGGCGGGAGGAGGAGGAGGAGGAAGATGACAGTGAAGGAAGGGCAGGCGAGGTTGTTTCTGCCGTGCTGTGCAAAGGAGAGCGGAGGCGTGTTTGTGTTGTCCCCACCCTGCCCGGGCTCGGTCGGGGATGAAGCACTTTCTCCTTTCTCCCCAGACCTGCCGGACCGGTCCCATCGCCCGCGGCTCCGGGGATGCTGCGAGGGCACCGCAGCCCCTCCAAACCCTCGGCAGCACCAGGGTGAGCCCTGTGCCAAAGCGGGGCCACGGTGGTTTGTGCTGTGCCCCCCTGGGGGTTTTCACTCCGCTCCGCAGGGAGGAGGGATTTTTGGGGATTCAGTCGTGCTGAAAGTGGCTCCTCCAAGGTTTCACTGGGGTTTTGCCAGAGTTAGCAGCGTTCTCACCTGAGGTGTGGGATCTGAGCGTGGCTCTACTCACGTTCCCACCATGAAGGGGAAGGTGAAGGATGCGGTGGGGCCGGTGGTTGAGGGGTTAAACGTGGCCCCGACACCAACAACCCCATTCGGACAACTGGCTTGGACACCAGCCCTTACTCAGAGCTGTGAGTTGTAACTTGGAGCTCTAACTTGTAACTCGGAGCTGTAACTTGGAGCTGTGACTTGTAACTCGGGGTCTCCCCACTGAATCTGAACCTCGGCTCCTTCCCACGAGCCGAGCCGGTGCCGGCCCCATCCAGCGGCAGGAAGCTCTGCCCACAGCCCTTGCTTGCTTTGGTATGGTTTTTCCAGCGAACTGGGGTGTATTTTTAGCCTGCCGGAAGCTCCCCCTGGTTATCGGCAAAGGGCTCCATGCACTGCCAGCGCCCGGCACACCCAGCTGCCGGAGCACCGAAATCCCCGCTGCCGAGGGGGGACAGAGCCACAGGGCACAGAAACACCCCATCCCTGGCAGAACCCCTGGGAAGGTCTTATCCAGGGTGTGCATCCCAGATGGGCTCCCTGGGTGCCCGACGTGGATGGCTGGGTTTGGTCCGTCCCTGGCACGCAGCCGGTGCTGCCGGCGCTGCCAGCGCTTCTGGGGAGCCCTGGCCGGCCGTGTTGATACAGACACCGGGTTATTTGAGGTGAAAGCAGCCCCTGGCACCGGCATAGCCAACTCTGGCAGCTTCCTGCCGTGCCGCGGCCCCCGGCAAAGGCCGGCTGCTCCCGGCCAGGATGTTTGTACAGGGCACAGGGCCAAAAAAACCCCCCTCTCCTTCCCCGTGCTGCTTCCTTCACCGTGTAAACTGTGTCACCGGAGCCAGGATGGCGATGGAAATCCCAAACCTCCCCGTGAGCAATTTCGAAAGTGGGTGGCGGGGTGGGGACGTGGGTGGAAAGCGGGTGCCTTCCGAGACAAGCTGGTCCTTACTCAGCCGGGCAAACCCCGTGTGGCTTTGCCGCCAGTGATTAGTTTTTCACATGGCTCGTCTGCATCTTCATCCCCTGGGTCCGAAAAAGGGATGGGGAAAAGGAGACTGAAGGAAAAAGAGGGAGAAAATAGGCTGGGGGGTGATGGCCCGTGGGTCATGGAGGGGGAATTCACCTCTGTCCTCTGTCTCTCCTCACAGACAGGTTCGGCGGGTGACGTGGTTGATGGACCCAGCAGAAGCCAAATGGAAGAAGGGCCAATTAATTATGTGGAAGAAAGGCGGCTGAACGAGGGCAGCGGACTCAGCCTGGTGAATGGGGGCCGGCTGGAGCCGGGGGGCACCGCGCTGATGGAGTCCAGCGGGTGGTCACCAGGCCAGCCGCCCGCCGCCGGCAAAGCCCCCCTGGAAGACGTCCGGAACCTGGTGGCCTTCTCGGCGGTGGCCGAAGCCGTCTCCTCCTACCGGCTCCCGCCGCCGGGCTCGCCGTCGCTGCTGTACGAGAAGTTCGACTCGGAGATGAGCCGGGGCGGGCTGGGCGCGGCGGACAGCGTGCCCAGGGGCGAGGACCTGCACGCCCTCAAGGCCGCCCTGGCGCTGGCCAAGCACGGTGTGAAGCCCCCCAACTGCAACTGCGACGGCCCCGAGTGCCCCGACTACCTGGAATGGCTGGAACAGAAGATCAAGACGGCTCTGGGCGAAGAACTGGCGTCCCCGCGTCCCCGCGCCGCCGCCATCCCCCCTCCCACCCCCCAGGAAGGTGCTATTGACCCCCAGCCGGTGCCTGAGGCTGCCGAGCCGTGCCCGCCCGACGGCCTCCCCTTTTCCCAGAGCGCGCTGACCATTGCCAAGGAGAAGAACATCAGCCTGCAGACCGCCATCGCCATCGAGGCCCTCACACAGCTCTCAGCCGCCCTGCCCCAGCCCGTGGGTGATGGGCAGCCGCCGCTGCCGCCCCCCCCGCCGCCCCCCGCCGCCCCCTTCGGCCCAGGCCCCCTCGCCCCGCCGGGGGCCACGTGGCAGCGAGGGGACGAGCCCCGCTACCCGCCCGAGCCGGGGGCAGCACCTGAGCCATTTTTCGGTGCGGCACCGCCCCGGGGCAACTTCTCAGCACCGTGGGGGCTGGAGGCCGAGGGGGCGACGGGGGCTGGAGACCCCATGGCAGAGCTGGAGCAGCTGCTGGGGAACGCTGACGACTACATCAAGGCAGCTTTCAAGAGACCTGAAGCGACCCCTGGCAAAGTGACGGCCCCCAAAACAGAGCCCCCTGAGCGAGCGGCCAGCAAGGAGGCACCGGGTGGCCCCCCATTGCCGCCGGTGCCACCAGAGCCCGACCTGCACAAGAAGACACAGCTGGTCCTGCAGCAGCATCTCCACCACAAGCGCAGCCTCTTCCTCGAGCAAAGCCTGGCGGCGGCAGCTCCCCCAGACCGGCCGGGAGGATGGTGGGCTCCTGGCACCCCTGCTGCGCCCCCCAAACCCTTTGAAAAGCAGCCCAAAGAGAAGAAGAAGAAAATGCCGCCTGAAAAGCCCCCCCCGGCCAAACCTCTCCGCAAGCAAGTGCAGATCAAGAAGGCGAAGCAGAAGGACTCGCAGCCACTCTTCCTGCCCCTCTGGCAGATCAGCCTGGAGGGGTTTCGGGCGCCCGCCGAACCCCCCGCCGAACCCCCCCCCGAGGAGATGCAAACGGACCCACCGCCGCCGCCATTGGCCTTCCCGCACCAGCCTCTTGCACTAGCCCAGCCCGCCGCATGCCCCCCGCCACCCAACCCCCCCGGTGGCATTCCCCCCGCTCCCGACTCTCAGGAAAGGGGTGCCCCCGGGGGGGGCCCCCAAATTCACTCGGCGACAGCGGGCTCGGAGGAAGCGCTGGCTGCCCCCCTGCCGACCACCTCGGCTCCCATCATGGTGGATGACAAGTTGGAAGAGCTTATCCGACAATTTGAAGCCGAATTCGGGGAGAACTTCAACCTGCCGCCCCCCGAGACGCCCGCCCCGCTCGCCCCTGGGGCTGCCGAGGAGCCAGGGGGACCAGCACCAGCCTCGCAAGGGTCCCCTCAGGCCACCGCCGCCGCCTCGGCGCCGAGCAGCGCTACCCAGCCCAGCCCCAAGAGCTGCGCGTTGTCTCCAGGGAAGGCTCTGCTGTCAGAGCCCCCCTTTACCGCCCGCTCCCCCAAACAGATCAAAATTGAATCTTCTGGTGCTATCACCGTGGTGTCCACCACGTGTTTTTACTCCGAGGAAAGCCAAAACCCGGACGTGGACGATGCCGACAGAACGCCCACCAAGGATGAGGTGCCACTAACGCCGACTCTGAGCGGCTTTTTGGAATCTCCGCTGAAGTACCTGGACACACCGACCAAAAGCCTCCTGGACACCCCGGCCAAGAGGGCACAGGCAGAATTCCCCACCTGCGACTGCGTTGGTGAGTGAGTGGCCGTGCCAGGGGGTTACTGGGGTGGCATTTCCAGGCGTTTATTTTTCCAAGATTGCCCTGGATACATAACAGAATGATGCCACGGCACCAGTAAAGCGCCTGATTTTTGGGGGGATCACAGAATCACAGAGTCAGCCAGGTTGGTAAAGACCTCTGAGATCATCGAGTCCAACCTGTGACCCAACCCCACCTTGTCCCCCCCACCATGGCACTGATGCCACATCCAGGCTCTGCTCAAACCCCTCCAGGGACGGGGACTCCCCCCCTCCCTGGGCAGCCCATTCCAAGGGCGGATCCCTCTCTCTGGGAAGAACTTCTTCCCCATGGCCAACCTAAACCTGCCCTGGGGCAGCTCCAGGCTGTGCCCTCTTGTCCTACTGCTGGTTCCTGGCAGCAGAGCCCGACCCCCCCGGCTCCCCCCTCCTGTCAGGGAGTTGCAGAGAGTGAGAAGGTCTCCCCTGAGCCTCCTCCTGTCCAGGCTGAGCCCCCCCAGCTCCCTCAGCTGCTCCTCCCAGCACTTGTGCTCCACACCCTTCCCCAGCCTTGTTGCCCTTCTCTGGCCCTGCTCCAGCCCCTCAACATCCTTCCCAAACTGAGGGCCCAGAGCTGGGCACAGCACTCCAGAGATGCAGCACTCATGTGGTGAAACGCTGGTGCTGTGGAGCTGCTTCTGCTTTCTGTTCTCGCCTGTTATTTTTATTGGAAATGCTGAGCACCCACCGTGTCTCCGCGGGGGTGGCACCGACACCACGGGCTGTGCTGCTGGGGGTTGGATGAGCAGCAAAACCAAAGGGCTGTTGGGTTTTATTTCAGCCACTCAGCTGAATCCCACGAGTCCATGGTGGTCCCAGTGCCAAAACCCACCTAAACCCCTGGTTCTTTAGGATATTTTCAGCCAAATTAGCTGGTTTGGGGTACCCAGAGTAACCCAAACTTTGGCTTTTCATGTGCACTTATCCCTGGAGAAATCCTTGCTGCTGGGATGCTGCCTTGTTCACTGGACAATCCAACCAGGATGCATTGAAAAATCACCAAACTCTTGGATTTGTGGGGTTTTGGGGTCTTTTTCTGGTGTGCGTTGGCATTTGTTAGATTTTGCAGCAAGCCCTAGAAAATTCCCATCTGGTCCTTTCAGTCCACCTTCATCCGAGTGCAGGGAGCTGGATCTTCCCTCCCCAGTGTTTATACCAGGGCTGGGAGGAGCAGGGTGAGGATTTGGAGCATCTAGCTGGAAAAATGACCCCCCTACTGCTGGGAGAGGTGGCCTCGGGCTAAGACCAAGCTGCACTTTATTAGTGGGGCTGATGATTATTTATTTATTTGCCTGTAAATGGCAGCAGGAATCAGCCCAAAAGTCACGGAGCAAAGGAAAAGCTTTTCTGGAGCCGCTCGAACTGATCTTGGAGTTTGCCAGGAAAAGATTGGAGTTGCTTTTTCTTTTCCAGCGTGGTTTAAGGGGCTGGGAGAGGGGGGATTCCCGTGCTGCCACCTCTCTGTTTTCCCAAGGAAAAGCTGTGGAAGAAGCAATTCAGGAGTGGGGCTTGTTGCCTTATTGGGTGCTGTTGGAGGCTGGGATGAAATCAGCCTTCTCCGCGCATCCCGTATTGATCCCTGTCTGGACATCTGCATCCCAGCTGAGCCCGGCTTTCTCCTCGGCCTGGCTCCCAGCCAGCTGGACATGATGGGAATGAGAATCAGAGTGGTGAGAGCAGAGAACACAGATCAGACCCGGCCGTGATGCTGGATGTGTCCCACCCAGAGATGTCAGAGCATCCCGGTGTGCTGGGGATCCATCCCTGTGCCTGCCTGGAGCATGTAGTGCTTCCCACATGGCACCTTCATGCCCTGAAAGCCCTGAGGGGGCTGTTGTTGTGATGGAGGTGTTGGTGGCAGGGCTGTAGCCCCAGTGTCCTACACCTGTATCCTGAGTGCCCTCCTCTGGTTGCCCCAGTGTCCTCCTGTAATCCCAGGATCCTCCCATAGCCCCAGCATCCTTCTCCTGTGTTTTGATCATCCTTGCCATGGTCTAGTAACCTTGGCGGCGTTGGATCAGGGGTTGGACTTGATGATCTCGGAGGTCTTTTCTGACCTGGTTGATTCTGTGATTCTATGATTCTCCCGTAGACCCAGTGTCCTCCTGTAGCCCCAGAATCCTCGTGTAACCCAAGTATCCCTGTCCCATAGTCCCAGCATCCTTCTCCCATAGTCCCAGCATCCTTCTCTCGTAGCCCCAGTGTGCTTCTCCCATAGCCCATATCCTTCTCTCCCAGTCCCAGCATCCTCCCTTAGCCCCAATGTCCTTCTCCTGAAGCCTCAGCATCCTCTTGCAGCCCCACTGTCCTTCTTCCATAGCCCCAGTGTCCTTCCTTAGCTCCAGCACCCTCCTGAAGCCTCAGCATCCCTCTCCCACAGTCCCAGCATCCTTCTCCCACAGTCCCAGCATCCTTCTCCCACAGTCCCAGCATCCTTCTCCCATAGTCCCAGCATCCTTTGGTAGCCTGTATCCTTCTTCCATAGCCCCAGCATCCTTCCACCTCTTCCTGGCACTGCAGCTCCTTCCTTGCACAGTCAACTTGGATCATCCCATGAACATCCCCAGATCCTCCAGGAAAGCCTAAAGCAGCACCAATAGTTTTCAGCCCCCAAATTATCCCGTGTTGGTTTTGGCAGCATCCAGCCCTGTGAGCAGGACCAAAGGGGTGCTCCAGGTGGTGAGCAGGGGCAGGGATGAGGAGGGGGTTTGGAATCTGAATCTCGAGTTGGAGTCCAGTGGAATTTGGAATCCAAATCCAGAGCTGGAGTGGCTGGAGCGAATCCCCTGAGCCAGGATGGAGCCGTGGTCACTGCTGGGATGCTTGGAAGGGCTGTGGCTGCTCGGGGAGGTTTTTCGGTCCCCAACAGGGGTGGGTTTGAGCACCCATTTCCAAGTTTTCCAGTGGCATTTTAGTGCTGGGAGCATCTTCCAGAGCAGAAAATGATGAAGAGCTGCCAGGCTGTTTAATGAATCCCTTCTCTGATGCTCTGACGGGGAGATGAACCCTTGAGTTTGGTTTGGGGGAATTTGGGGGTTTGGAATCCTTTGGAGAAGCTGATGGAAGTGCAAACCCCAAAATCTCGGTCTCCCCCTCCTGTGTCTTCAGAGCAAATCGTGGAGAAGGACGAGGGGCCGTATTACACCCACCTGGGCTCGGGGCCCACCGTGGCCTCCATCAGGGAGCTCATGGAAGAGCGGTGAGGACCTTTTCCCATCCCATCCCTGGGGGGCTGAGAGGGCAGGGGGCCATGAGGGAGAGTGGGGGTCTGTGGGGACCTGTCAGGGGGAGTGGGGGCTCCTGAAAGCAAGTGGGGGGCCATGAGGGGTCCGCTGTGGGGGAGTGGGGGCTTGTGAGGGTGAACGGGGACCCATGAGGGTGAACAGGGACCCATGAGGGGTCCCATTTGGGTGAGAGGGGGCTTATGAGGGTGAGTGGGAACCCCTGGCATCCTATCAGGGGGAGTGGGGGCTCCTGAGAGTGAGTGAGGAGCCATGAGGGGTCCCATGAGGGTGAGTGGAGTCCCGTGATGATGAGTGGGAGCTTGGAAGGGGGAATGGGGACCCACGAGGGGGCTCCTGAGGGTGAGTAGGGTCCCGTGAGGCTGAGTGGGATCCTGTGAGGGGGCTTGTGAGGGTGAGTGGGGCTTGTGAGGGTGAGTGGGGCTTGTGAGGGCGAGTGGGGCTTGTGAGGGCGAGTGGGAACCTACGGGGTCCTGTCAGGGTGAGTGGAGGCTTGAGAGAGTGAGGGGTCCCATGAGTGTGAGTGAGGACCCATGAGGGGGCTGAGGTCATGAGTGGGGCCCTGTGAGGGACAATGGAGACCCAGGAGGGTGAGTGGGGACCCATGAGGGTCAGTGTGGACTTCTGGGGGTGAATGGAGACCCATGAATGGGCTCCTGAGGATGAGTGGGGTCTCATGAGGGTGAATGGGACCCATGAGGGAAAACTGGGGCTTTTGAGGGGTCCTGTGAGGGCAAATGAGGGTCTGTGAGGGACCCCATGAGGGCAAGTGAGGGTGACCAGAGTCGTGCAAGGGTGAGAGGAGTCCTGTGAATGGGGGCTTCTGAGGGGCTCGTGAGGGCGACTGGGGGTCTCCTGAGTGTGGAGGTGGGCGAGTGGGGCTGATGGCTGTTCCTGGCAGGTACGGTGAGAAGGGCAAGGCCATCCGCATCGAGAAGGTCATCTACACCGGGAAAGAGGGCAAGAGCTCCCGGGGCTGCCCCATTGCCAAGTGGGTGAGTACCTGTGGCCCTCTCCTGTCCCCTCTTGGAGCCCCCCAATGCTCCTGCCCCCCTTCCTGGGCACAAGGAGGTCCTCCACCAGCAGTGGTTACAGTGGGCAGGGGTGGGATGGTCAATTCGTGGCTGGCAAGGAGGAGGCAAGAGCTGTGCCCACCCCCAGGGAAGCTCCGTGGGGATTCCCACCCTCAGCACGTCCGTTGCCTACACTCCAAAGCCATGGGGGTGAACACAACCACGGGACACCCACATCCCCACAGAAAGCAGCCAGGACCCACTTTTGGAGTCCTCCCCATCCCAGGAGGTGGTTGATGGAGTGGTATTTATTGACTTGGCCCCCCCACGTCCCCACAGAAGGAATCCAGGACCTACTTTTGGGTTCCCTCATCCCAGGAGGTGTTTGTGGAGTGGTGTTTGTTGAATTGGCCCCTGTGTTTCCCAGGTGATTCGCAGACACAACCAGGAGGAGAAGCTGCTGTGCCTGGTGCGGCACCGGGCCGGGCACCACTGCCAGAACGCCGTGATCATCATCCTCATCCTGGCCTGGGAGGGCATCCCCAGGACCCTGGGGGACACCCTGTACCAGGAGCTCACCGACACCCTCACCAAGTACGGCAACCCCACGAGCCGCCGCTGCGGCCTCAACGACGAGTAAGTGCCACTGCTGCAAATCCCCTGAAACCATTGGGATTTCAGTGTTAGGGAGCAAGGCAGTGCTTTATTCTTGGCCAGGAGGTTTCAGAATCTCAGAATCATTAAGGTTGGAAAAGATCATCAAGGTCATCAAGTCCAACCATCAACCAGCACCACCACCGTGTTCAGTACTAACCAGGTGTCTCTGAGTGCCACATCCACACATTCTCTGAACACTTCCAGGGGTGGTGACTCCACCACCTCCCTGGGCAGCCCATTCCAATACATGACCACCCTCTCAGTGAAGGGATTCAATCTAAACTTCCCCTGGCACAGCTTGAGGCCGTTTCCTCTTGTCCTGTCTCTTGTTCCCTTTGTGTGTGACCAACAAAATCCTGGCCTCCACACCGACACTGATTCAAAACTTTTTCACCTGTTTATACATTTTTAGCAAACAATGAAACTAATGTTCATTGGTTCTAAATTACATAATTCTCTTTCATTAATTAGTATTCTCTGTTGATTATTGATTTCTTACTTTTTATGCTAATTAGTCCATATTTTTACTCCTTTTAGTATCTTCGGTATCTTTTTTCCTCTGACAGGGACTTATCAACACACGTACTGAGCCTTTGTTAGTCTCTTCTTTATTTTCTGCTCTCTGCAAAATGTCCTTGTGGTCCTTAAATTCTGCATTCCAGATGTCCAACTTCAACAATCCATGTTTGTGTCCCAGGCTTTAGTTCATTGAAACACATCAGGGTTAGTTTATCAAAACTTCAAGTTTCACTGATTTTCCTAAGCTGTGTTCCCACAAAAGTAACTCACAACAACTTTGCTAAATGCTAAGAGCGATTTAAGAATAACACACTATTTATAATTAATTTATATGGATTATGATTAATTAAATGGGACAGGACAGGACAGGATGGGATGGGAATGGGATGTGGGGTCCCTGCTCTTCCCAGAGCTGCTGTCACCAAGCTGGTGGCTGATGTTCCTCATGGTGTCCCTCCCTCCCAGCCGGACCTGTGCCTGCCAAGGCAAGGACCCCAACACCTGTGGTGCTTCCTTCTCCTTCGGCTGCTCCTGGAGCATGTACTTCAACGGCTGCAAATACGCCCGGAGCAAAACCCCCCGCAAGTTCAGGCTGGTGGGAGACAATCCCAAAGAGGTGGGTGAGGGGGCTGGAGTGGGATGGCACTGGGGAGGGGTGGGTTTGGACCTCCTTCACCTTCAGCTCCAGCTTTTGCAGCCTGAAAGTAGGATTCCTTGTGAAGCCTGAAAATAGGGTTCCCTGTGAATCCTGAAGATAGGGTTCCTTGCAGAATTTTTGATGGATTAGGGAGATGAGGAAAAGAAAGGTGGCACAAATGGGGTCCCTGTAGAAGCTCCAAGGAAGAAGCCAAAGGGCTGATGGGTTGAGTGAGTGAAAGCACAACAGGTGCAGAGGCTGGAGGCTGAACAGTCAGATCTTCATCAGGAATTTAAGCACATGCTTTGTGCTGGACATGGTGGGAAGGGTTGGGTGCTGTGTGCTGTCTGTAGGCTCTGTCCGTGATTCCATTCCAAAACCCCTGGGTGACATCCTCCTGCTTTCCCTGCCACAGGAAGAGCTGCTCCGGAGAAGCTTTCAGGACTTGGCCACCGAGGTTGCCCCGCTTTACAAGAGGCTGGCGCCACAAGCCTACCAAAACCAGGTACTGCCACCCCCTTGTCCCCCTGCCAACACCAATGGGTGCCAGGTGGTGGTGTTTGGGAGATTTTGGATAACCAGAGCCCTCTCCTCCTTCCACCAGGTCACCAACGAGGACGTAGCGATCGACTGCCGGCTGGGCCTGAAGGAGGGGAGGCCGTTCTCAGGGGTGACGGCGTGTATGGACTTCTGTGCCCATGCTCACAAGGACCAGCACAACCTCTACAACGGCTGCACGGTGGTAAGCAGGCACGGGGGGGATGGTTGGGGTGCTCCCACCCCAGTTTGGGATGCTCCTTTCTGAGCCACTGGGTCCCCAGTTGTCCTACCCCAGGGCAGTGGTCACAGCACCAAGCCTGATGGAGTTCAAGGAGTGTTTGGACAACACTCTCAGGCACATGGTGGGATTTTGGGGGTGTCCTGTGCAGGGCTGAGTTGGACTTGATTATCCTTGTGGGTCCCTTCCAGCTCAGCATATTCTGTCCTCCCTGCCTGGCTCCAGGTCCTTGGTATGACACCTCAAATGACACCTCAGGTCTGTGAGTGCTGAAGCCACCCCAGCCAGACTGAGGTGCTAACGGGGACCAGCATTTGCTTTTGTCCAACCCACGGGAGGTTTCCATATGGCAGCTGGGGACCAGAGCGGAGGGAATGCCAGGCTGGTGTGGATTCATGTTGATGGGGGAATAAGGAGGAGGTTTGGCCCATCCAGCACAGACCACATCCCTCAGCACCCCGCTGACAGCACCCACCCCCCCAGGTCTGCACACTGACCAAGGAAGACAATCGCGTGGTGGGCAAAATCCCCGAGGATGAGCAGCTGCACGTCCTGCCCCTCTACAAGATGTCCAGCACGGATGAGTTCGGCAGTGAGGAGAACCAAAACGCCAAGGTGGGCAGCGGGGCCATCCAGGTGCTCACGTCCTTCCCGCGCGAGGTCCGCAGGCTGCCTGAACCCGCCAAGTCCTGCCGGCAGAGGCAGCTGGAGGCCAGGAAAGCTGCCGCGGAGAAGAAGAAGCTGCAAAAGGAGAAGCTGATGACGCCGGAGAAGATCAAGCAGGAAGTGCTGGAGCTCCCCACGCTCCAGCCAAATGCAGGTAACAGGGGCACAGGTGAGGTCCTGCCACCGCCAAACCGGCCGGGAAGCGTGTGAGGGGATTGGGATATGATTGGATGGGCTGGTGTGTTGAGGTGGAGAGCGGGAGCCCGGTGGGGTTTTCGGGGTGCTCCCCCCTACTTTGGGATGCTCCTTCTTGAGCCACCAAGTCCCCAGTTGTCCTGCCTATCCAGATGGCATGGATGACTTTTCCATGGCACCTGGGTTTTTCCCTGTGCCGTGGAGCGGTGGGAGCTCTCTCTGCAGCGCTCAGCATGGGTGTGAATCCCGGGCAATGCTGGGCAATGCCAACCCCAACCTCTGTGCTCTGTGGAATTCCCGAGCCTGGCCAAGTGTTTCAGGGTTGTCGCTCCCCTCCGGTGGCTCCCTCAGCCGGCGGGTCACAGGGGCTGTGTGTGCTGTCCCGCAGGTATGGCCTTGAAAAGCGGGATCCCCCCGCAGCCACTGAAACCTTCCATCAAGGTGGAACCCCAGAGCCATTACAACGCCTTCAAGTACAACGGCAACGCGGTGGTGGAGAGCTACTCGGTGCTGGGCAGCTGCCGGCCCTCCGACCCCTACAGCATGAACAGTGTTTACTCTTACCATTCCTACTATGCACAGCCCAATCTGCCTTCCGTGAACGGGTTTCACTCCAAGTTCGCGCTTCCCTCCTTCGGGTATTACGGCTTTTCCAGCAACCACGTGTTCCCCTCGCAGTTCCTCAACTACGGGGCGCCCGAGCGGGGCGGGAGCACCTGGGTGAGCAATGGCTACGAGAAGAAGCCCGACGTCTCGGTGCTGCAGGAGAACCTCAACCACACCTACGGGAACACCAACTTCCCTGAGCCCGTCCCGCATGGCATGCGGAGCAAGAACCACCACCAGCGCACCTACGAGCGGGCCAACCGCTACGCCAGCCAGCAGAAAGCAACGGCTGCCGGGGCACACAGGACTAACCCAGGCTCAGAGGAGGCACCATCCTTTGCACAGAACTGTTTTGGCAGCCGCCCCATCAAGCAGGAGCCTCCGGACCCTCCGCCTGCCATCGAGCCCCGTCCCGGTGCAGCGGCTGTGCCCAGCGCTGATCTGACACTGCCGGCCATCCCGGCACACGGCGCGGCGCCAGAGCAGCGCTGGAGCCCCTTCAAGGCGCCACGGGGCGCGTCTTCCCCTGAGAGGACTAACACAGCCGAGGGCTCGTGGGGTGCGCTGGTGCCAGGCGCAGGCGGGCGGGAGAAGCTGAGCGCCTTCGATGCCACCACACGCCTGCCGCCACCGGAGAAGCAGTGGCCCAACGTCCTGCCGGCAGGAGAGCCAACGGCGGCGCCGGCGCGCGGGTCGGGATTGCTGCCAAAGCCGTGGAGCCCCTGCAAGCTCGGGGAGGCAGCGCTGGCTGGCACGGGCACCTCCAGCCTGCTGGGCTCACTGGGCTTCAGCTCGGCTCTGCCGGGACTGCCCAGCTTCCCTGAGGAGCCGTGGGGCTCCGTGAAGGTGGAGGAGCGCAGGACACCGGCACCCAGCCCGGGGCTGCCGGAGAAGCCGTGGGAGGCAGCGTTGGGCGAGAAGGGGGCGGCAGGGCCCCGCCGGGACAAACCATGGGACCCCTTTGGCTTGGAGGAGGATCTGTCAGAGAAGGCGGTGAAGGAGGAGGAGGAAGAGGAGGAGGAGGAGGAGGAGGAAGAGGAGGAGGAGTGGTCGGACAGCGAGCACAACTTCCTGGACGAAAACATCGGCGGCGTGGCCGTGGCGCCTGCCCACGGCTCCATCCTCATTGAGTGTGCCCGCCGCGAGCTCCACGCCACCACCCCGCTGAAGAAACCCAACCGCTGCCACCCCACCCGCATCTCCCTCGTCTTCTACCAACACAAGAACTTGAACCAGCCCAACCACGGCCTGGCGCTGTGGGAGGCCAAGATGAAGCAGCTGGCAGAGCGGGCGCGGGCCCGGCAGGAGGAGGCAGCGCGCCTGGGTCTGCCGCCGGACGCCAAAGCCTTCGCCAAGAAGCGCAAGTGGGGCGGAGCGTTGGCGACCGAGGCGCCCAGCAAGGAGAGGAGGGACTCGGTCCCCACGCGGCAGGCGGTGGCCATCCCCACCAACTCCGCCATCACTGTGTCCTCCTACGCCTACACCAAGGTGACAGGCCCCTACAGCCGCTGGATCTGAGACGGGCGCAACCGCCGTGGCCCCATCTTACCTCAACCCTCGGCAGTGCCGGTGCCCGGCGTTGCTTCGTGGTGCTTTCTCCTCGGGCGTGGGGAGAAGAAAAAAAAATAAAAAATAAAGAGACAAAAGTGAAGCAAAACACAACAGCCACACCACACAAAAAAAAAATATCCAACCCATAGGAAGCGAACCCGACGCGCGGAGCCGGCGCGGGCATGCGCCGTCAAAGAGCTGCGCCCGGTGAGGAGTTGGCATACCAAGCAAAACTGGGTAAAAAAAGCACCCAGGAGGAACGATGCTGTTTGATGATTTTAGGTAATCTCCTATTTATATCTCCATGTTTTTTAATCTAGCCTCAGATGAATTTCCTAGCGTCCTTTCACGAGGAGAGGTTTTTAATTCCACTTAAAGGAAAAGCCTATTTGTCGGATTTGATTTGATTTTATTTTTTACTCCGATGACGACGATGAAGCCGATCTTCGAAAGAGAAGCCAACGTGGAAAAAACCCACCCTGAACACAAATCCAAACCAACCTGAACACCAAACCAGCTTAAAGGCAAGAGGTGACTCCCTGCAGCTCTGAGGCTATCGGGATCATGTGCTTTACTGTCAGCCGGACACGCTGAACAGCTGAATATTTTTATTCCTAAAGGACATAAAAATACTTATTTTGCAGCTCGAGGAGCCCTTTCTTACAGCGACGGGAGCCCATGAACAAGTGGGACATCCCGGGGCGGCACGTCTTCACTCGGCTCCTCCTCCAGTGGGATTGACTCCACCGGGACGGAGCGGGCCAGCGTCTTTCCTGGTGCCGGAGACCTCAGGACACGGCCGGGCTGGGAATGCCGCTGCTGGGGGGGGCCGTGCTCGGGCTCAGACTTGTGGCTACTTTGCCAACGGCCCCAGGGCGAGCAGTGGCGGCGGCGGCATCTCCAAAGGAGCTGACAAGACAAAGAAACAGAAACAAAAAAATACAAAAAACCAGGAAAAAAAAAAAAAACACAAACCAACCCCAAACTGTGAATAGCGAGTGTTGCTCTCTGTACATCACTGTTGCTAAAGTCTGGTGCTTTCCGTCTCCGGGGGACTTTCTCTGCGCGATCGGCTCCGGGAAGTGCGAATCCCGAAGACTTGGCTGGGCCAAATCCCGCCGGGTCCGCCTTCCCTGCCGGTGCCAGCAAGCCGGCGTAGCGGCCCCAGCGCCGCCGGGGCTCGGTGCTCTTTACTCTCCCCGGGTGCCATCCCTCCTTCCTATGGATCACCGTTCTTCCCGCAAAAAAACCACCCAAACCCAGCTGACAACCCAACGACGATGACGACGACAACCGCGTGGTGCTTTTGGAACAATCTCCGTCGAGACTTCCCGCCCGACGCCGGAGCCGCACCCAGATGGAGGGGCGGGAGAGCTCCCCAGGAGCGCGGCACAGACGGATCCGGGTTCCCGGCGTCCCCAGGGGGGTTGTTGCTTTTGCACTTTGAGGTGCCTTTTGGAAGAGCCAGCGAGGCAGCGCCGACGCCGTCACCGTGCAGGAACCACCTCGTGTTTACTGTCACCCTCCTTCCCCGCGCACGGGACACGGATCAGCAGGATCTCGGTAAAAAACAACCTGAACATTTACGTGGTCTGATTTTAAACCTGTACATAGGGAAAGAATTTTTTTAAAAGCACTTTCACCTAGATTTAAAAAGCGAAACTTAAAAAAAAAAAGCAAACAACTCCCCTTCTTCCCTCTCCCCTCCCCTCCCACCCCCCCCAACTTGAAGCAGTATGTTTTAAACAAGATTATCGTGGGAGAACTGTAAATACTGGCAGAATATTTAACATGCTTTGTCCGTCCTTCATCATTAATGATTTTTTTTTTTGTTCGTTTTTTTAACCGTAATCTGTAAAGTCGCGTATATTTGACAAGGAAACTCAACGAGCTATTCCCGCTTTTCTTATAAATACCCAATAGCATATCAGGATTGTAAGAGTTGACGGCAAGTCGGATTTTAGGGATGCCCGTTCCAGCGGGGGACCCGCCGTGTGGTTGGGAGGGGGGAGAGGGGACCTGGCTGATGTGGGGCCGGATTCGGGTGCCGGCCCCATCGGCATCGCCGTGTTTTGTCTCTGGCTGGCGCGGCGGGGGTGCCTTGGAGCTTCGCCTGGAGCGTGGGGGGGAGAAGGAGCGTTCGGAGAAGGCGATGGTCCGTGTAACCTGTCTAAGTCCTGCTTCCTTGGAGGTGTTTTTGGTGCAGGGAGGGGGGTTGGTCCGTTGGCTCTGGGGGGAGCGGGAGCTGCCGGCGCCGTGGGTCGGGGGGAGCAAGAACTGCTGCAGTCTCACGTTTTTACACTACATAACGTCTAACCTACCTCAACTCTCAGTCATTACAAATTCGCACGCTTCAGACTTCTACACAAAACTCGAAATCTATGCACAGCTCTTTTACCCCTTGCTGCTGAGAGGCTGTTTCCAAGCAAAATCTTTCCCTTTACCTGCCCTGGCGGCCGCGCTCATCCCGCCCGCACCGAAGCCACAGGGGTCACGGAGTTCGAGGGAGGGAAGGAACGTTTTTAATCGCTTCGGAATGGGATGTGGGGACCTCATTTTGCAGCAGGTCGTGGCCACAATGGTGCTAGAACAAAACCTGTGGTGGAAACCCCGGGGAGAGCTTGGCACGGGAAACCCCAACCGGCTTCTTCCATCCCGCTGCAGGCGGGAAATGAGGGGTGCATTTCGGGTCCCCCCGTCCCGATGCTCTCGGGATGAGGCGTGGGAAGGAGAAGGAAACCAGAATCCCTGAGGTGCCTCAATTGCTGATTTTTCCTTTTAATACTGGAGTACGCTTTGTGGGCTCTATAAGGCATATTTTTATTAAATGAAATCTTGTAATACAAACGGTGCTATGGTGTTTTAACAAACTGTATCACGCTTCTGCCTGATTCCATCTCGCTGAGGTGCTACTAATGTATATATGAAACTAAGGAACCAAGATATAAAAAAATAAAGCAATGTCGTTGAGAAGGAAGTTTACCTTTCCGGAGCGACAGCTCAAGGTGTGCCGGGAGCCGGTTGGGTTGATGCAAACCGGAATTTTGCCATGTCCAAGGTGTCCCGGGGTCGTGGTGGAGCCGTTCCCTGCGGAGCCGGTGTGGTGGCGGGATGAGGTGCTCAGATGTATGTGGGTGTAGGGTTTGGTCAGAGGTGTGATCTCGGTGCTCAGCGGTGCTTGGTCGTGGTGTGTGGACACGGTGCTGAGACGCGGTGTTTGGCCACGCACCGTGGGTGTGGCGCTCGGGCATGGTGGTCAGTCACACACTGGGGACGTGGTGCTGGGACACAGTGTTTGGTCACACACCGTGGATGTGATGCTCGGGCGTGGTGTGTGGACACGGTGCTCAGACGTGGTGTTTGGCCACACACTGTGGACGTGGTGCTCGGGCACAGTGGTCAGTCACGCATCGGGGGCGTGGCACGTGGACATGGTTCTTGGACATGGTGATCAGTCACACATCGAGGATGTGGTGCTCAGATGTGGTGCGTGGACACAGTGCTTGGATGTGGTGCTTGGCCACGGTGCTCGGACATGGCACGTGGGCATGGTGCTCAAGCACAGTCACACATCATGGATGTGGTGCTTGGGCATGGTGCTTGGCCAGGTGTCACGGACAGGGCATGTGAACGTGGTGCTCAGACATGGTGTTCAGACATGGTGCGTGGACACGGTCACACATCGTGGACGTGGTGCTCGGGTGTGGTGCTCGAACAGGGTGTGTGGACATGGTGCTCGGACACGGTGCTTGGACACAGTGCTCAGCCACACATCATGGACGTGGTGCTCGGGCATGGTGCTCTGCTGTGGTGCTTGGACGTGGTGTGTGGACACGGTGCTCGGGGCACGGTGCTCGTCCACACCCCATGGACATGGTGTGCAGGCACCACGCTCGGACATGCCGTGTGGACACGGTGCACGAACTGGTGTGTGGACATGGTGCTCGACCACGGTGTTCAGACACAGCACACGGACATGGTGCTCTGCTGTGGTGCTTGGACTTGGTGCATGGACATGGTGCTCAGGCACGGTGCTTGACCACGTCATGGTCATGGTGCATGGACATGGTGCTCGGGCACGGTGCTCAACCATGTGCCGTGGACATGGTGCATGGACGTGGTGCTCGGGCACGGTGCTTGACCATGTGTCATGGACATGGTGCATGGACATGGTGCTCGGGCACGGTGCTCAGCCATGTGCCGTGGACATGATGTGTGGGTACGGTGCTCAGACGTGGTGCGTGGACATGGTGCTCTGCTTGGTGCTTGGACTTGGTGCATGGACTCGGTGCCTGACCATGGTGTGTGAACCTGGTGCTCGACTGCAGTGCTCCAACATGATGTGTGGACACGGTGCTCAGTCAGGGGTGTGGACACGGTGCTTGACCGCGGTGCTCGGACATGGTGCATGGACGTGGTGCTCGGGCACGGTGCTTGACCGTGTGTCATGGACATGGTGCATGGACGTGGTGCTCGGGCACGGTGCTTGACCGTGTGTCATGGACATGGTGCATGGACGTGGTGCTCGGGCACGGTGCTTGACCGTGTGTCATGGACATGGTGCATGGACGTGGTGCTCGGGCACGGTGCTCAGCCATGCACCATGGACGTGGTGCTTGAGGACAGTGCGTGGACATGGTGCTCTGCTTGATGCTTGGACTTGGTGCTTGACCACATGTCATGGACATGGTGGATGGACACGGTGCTCAGATGTGGTGTGTGGACATGGTGCTTGACCACGGTGCTTGGACTTGGTGCATTGATCAGTGCTCAGCCACGATGTGTGAACACGGTGCTCGACCACGGTGCTCAGCCAGGGGGTGTGGACGTGGTGCTCAGACATGGTGCATGGACATGGTGCTCGGTCGTGGTGCTCGGTCGTGGTGCTCGGTCGTGGTGCTCAGACGTGGTGCTCTGCTTGGTGCTTGGACTTATTGCATGGACTCTGAGCTTGGACAGTGGTGCTCCACCACGTGTCGTGGGTGTGGTGCTTGGCCGTGGCGGGTGGACATGGCACTCGGACATGGTGTGTGGGCACAGTGCTCAGCCATGAGGGGTGAACACGGCACTTGGCCATGGGTGTGGGCGTGGTGCTGAGCCAGGATGTGTGACCGTGGTGCTTGGACACGGTGCTCGGCCCAGTGTTCGTGGTGTTGTGCACACACGTGGGTACCGTGTGTGGGTTCCACGTGTGGATGCAGCGCTCGGGCACCGTGCACGACCACGGGGCTGGGATGTGCTGTGTGACCGTGGTGCTCGGGGACGGTGCTCAGACACACGTGGTGCTGGTCCGGGTGCACGGGCATGGAGAGGGTGCTGGGCACGGTGCACGGACGTGGTGCTTGGGCACGGTGCTCACACACCAGGCACAGACACGGTGCTTGGGCACAGAGCGTGGGCACGGTGCTCCGGCAGAGCGCCTGGCACAGCTGTGGTGCTCGGGCGCTGTGCACCCCATGGCACCCCCATGGCACCCCCATGGCACCCCCGTGGTGCTTGGGCCAGTGCACAGCACCCCTGACCCCACGGCACAGCCCCCCAGCACCACCTGGCCGGGCCCTAATCCTGGCACTGCCCCCCTGCACCGTGCCAGCCCCACACTCTGGTGCTGCTCAGCACCGCGATCCCGGCTCCTGGATCGCGTCCCGCACCGCGATCCCGGATATCAGCACCGCGTCCCGCACCGCGATCCCGGATCCCAGCACCGCGTCCAGCACCGCAATCCCGGCTCCCAGCACCGCGTCCCGCACCGCGTCCATCCCCGCGCTCCCGGGCTCAGCCCCACATCCAGCCCCGATCCACCCCCGCGCTCCCGGGCTCAGCCCCACATCCAGCCCCGATCCACCCCCGCGCTCCCGCAGCTCCTCGCGCTCATCCTCCCCCAGCCCGCTTCTGCCCGGCTCTTTCTTTTCTTCCTTTTCCCCCCTTTTTTTTCCATTTTTTGGGGTTTATTGGTGCTACTTTCCCCCCCCCCCCCGCCCCCCCCCCCCCGCCCCCCCCCGCGCAGGCA